TACATTCCCAAAGTTTTACTTTCGATTAAAAAAATATAATAAATGAAAAAATCAAAATACATTATAATAAGGACTAGGAGAGTATTTACTAGTCTTTCTTTGAATATGTCACGATATTATCATATAGTTTTGCTAAAAGAAAACAATGGAGAATTCATCATCTTTACCTATAAGTCTTTATTTATGCAAAAATATGAAGAGAATTTATTCTGATGGATCTTCTCTTTTCTGCCTTGCTTCATTGAGCAGCCAGTTAGCACAAAACAAACAGAAGAGAAGCATGGAAAGAAAAATCAAGGGCTTGCGAAGAATGTAAGTCACTCCAAAATTGATTAGCAATAGAGGGAGTAATACTCCAACCTTATAGATTGAGTTTGGAATTCTCTCATCACCGACGTGAAATTGAGTTTGCACACTTAACAAGCATTCCCTCAAAGAAATGACCAAACACTTGGACTTCCCCTTCAATGGCAATCTAACTTATATGGTTGTACGACCGCTATCATTCACGGAATATGCTGCCTGACCACCATTTTCTAAAAGATTTCGACACAAGATCCATAATAGGCTCCCGACTCCAATTCTACTGAGTCCACGAGTCGTTACGAGGTCAAACATGAAAAACACTCACACACTATCTGTACATAACTGGGTTAGAACCATGGTTCTGATACCATTTGTTGGGATCTTTCTTCCTTTAGGCCAATACTATTCAAATCTAAGATATAAATTCAAATGGGATTTCACTATAAAACCAATTAACAATAAGGGGAAGTATCTACTAAACTTGTATATTGAGTTTGGAACTCTCTCACAATCAATGTGGGACACCCAACATAAATGAATAAAAATAGTGATTTTATATCTCTTCCCTCTCCAAATTGTGCGTGTAATCTTGTAATAATCTGACCATTTATTTGTTAAGTATCCCACATCGGTGGTGGGAGAGAGTTGATATCAATATATAAGTTTACAGGCTACTCCCTTCATTACCAATTGGTTTTGAGGTGGAACCCCATGGGCTTTTTTATGGTATCAGAGCTAGCCCGCCAAGAGTCGGACTCCAAGTCTGATGTGATAGAAATGGTAGAGTTGAGACGTGAGGCGGTGACTGGGTTAAATAAAAAATAGACAAGCCCAACCCAAAAAGATGCATTAGCTTGCGGGGGAGTGTTGAGTATCCCACATCGGTGATGAAAGAGAGTTGATATCAATATATAAGTTTATATCAAATTGGTTGTGGTGGAGTGGAAAGACTCCTCTACCCTTAACTATAGGTCGATGGTTCGAACCTCACTATAGGCATAGAGCAACCTTAAATACTTTGGCCAGCTGTCCCACCCATCGAGGTGCCTACAATTCAGCGAGGGGGATTAGTCACTGTTGTCAAGGTGGACACCCTGCAAATATGCAAAAAAAAAAATAAAAATTTACGGGCTACTCCCCTCATAGTCACTGTTGCCGAGGTGGACACCCTACAAATATGCAAAAAAAAAAAAAAGAGTTTACGAGCTACTCCCCTAATTGCCAATTAGTTTTGAGGTAGAACCCTATGAGCTTCTATACCATTGTGTTCCATCCTTTATAGTGACTTGTGAGAGAGGATATTGAAGAAATTATTAAGTACTAGAATAAAAGGAAGAGGATGATACTAAGTTTTATATCGAGTACTTTCTTTAAACCAACAACACTTTGCTTGATTATAATCTTTTCAGTAACCGCTGCTTCTTCCCACCCGAACTAATTTCTTCGCTAGTGACATATAAATGTATCATGAATGATTAAGAAGACGAATCTTCAAGAAATATGAATTTTTTTAGAGAGCACATCTCTAGCCTTCGGTATTTAAAGAGAAAAACAACAAGTTTAAGGTCATTTGGGATTACATTATGGCGTCTGTACGTAAAAAGCTAAATAAATAAAATAACATAAATGTAAGATCATTTGTAGAACGTACTTCCTCTGTCCCAAAATTATTGTCCAGTTTGAGATTTTACTTTTAGTACAATTTGAATTAGAAATGAAAATTCAAACTGGACAATAATTATAGGATGGAGGGAGTATATGGTAAAATAAGGGACGGTAGCAATATTTATTGGGCTCGAAGCCTCGAACCTTTTGCTCCGCCTATTTCATCATAGTTCAATTTTTCTGTCGCCCTTCTCCTCTCCCACAATTTTCCTCTCGTGTGAGAATTTCGCCACAGATTTTTTAATATAATTTTACATATACTCGGTTTGTTCGAGAAACATTAAAAGGATTTTTCATTTATATATAATGTATAAGTAATGAATGGCTTTCAAAAAGGATTTCCACCAATTAAACTTAGTACACATTGTTACGATAACTAAAATGCCCATCTTTTATTTTATTTTATTTTCCAACCACACACTCTAAAGTCTACACCTACTACAATAGGTGAGTTGACACTAAAAGATTGGATTCCTGCGAAATAATTGAATTCGATTAGGATCCACACTAGTCATCATCGGCCGAGACTATATATGTATTTAAAATATAGTGAGAGAATAATAAATATCGTATAATTGCGAAATCTTATTAGGACGAGAAGATTATATTGCAAGTTTGAAACTATCTAGAGGTTGGAATCCTCTTTGTAACCACCCAAATTCTTCCCCCTTGCTCAATGAACTATTCTTTTCCATAGACTCTATCATGCAATAAGATATAGATTCCAAAAAGAACAAAAACTACATTTTATAATACCCGGCAAAATAGATTTTTTGTAATAAACATATAAAGAAAACATGTGTGGCCGAATTCTAACCGTTAAACCTTCTCATGCGTACAGTTGGTGCCTACAACAGGGCACGTGTTGCATATAAAAATTGTATATGGGTCATTGAATTTGTTGGTGTTAATTATGATGAGAGGGAATAGAGACATAGAGAAGTATGGTAGATCAATTGTATTATAATCCATGTGTTCTTGTTCATTTAAGCAAACCACATGCCTTCTCTTAAATTTTCTAGTCCTACAAAGGTATCAAATCCAAAAGGTCTGACCTGGTTTCTTCACACCCTCAAAGCCATATGCAATGACGTCGTGTTTTAGCTCAACAAACAAGTTGTTGTTGTTGTTTTCCTTTTTATTTTTTTTTCTTTTTTTGTGGCTTCTCCTACCCAATTGGAGTAGCAATGAGATTATAAAAGAGTAACTCTCATGTTTTCAAATTATTGTCTAGTTTAGATTTTCTGTTATAATAAAAATCATACTAAAAATAAAATTGTAAACTAAACGATCACTTTAAGATCAAGAGAGTATATGATTTCCTTGTGAATGCTATCTTTTTTTAAAAAAAAAAATGGAGTTTAAATTGATGGTGACATGTAATGACTCATGGTTTCTAAACTTAAACTACAATTCAGATCCAATGTAATGAATCACTCATAAAGTTTTAGATTAAAAAATGTGAAACGTTCCTTAGTTGGGTCTATCTAACTTTTCCTTACAACTTATTTAAAGGTAGTAAGATAGTTAAGTGGGATGGTAAGGAAGAAAATTATATTCATAAGGGGACGATAGTAACATTAAGTTTTGGGTGTTAATTTGAATTGTTTCCAGCAGGAGCTTACTATAACTAATAAAATTATAACCTTCATAACATTTATTTCGAGATCAATGGGTTGCTCATGTAATGAACACAAGGGAATTAGTCATGCCGACATGGACTATTTAAGATACTTTCTGTTCGATCTGAATTCTGAAATGTAAAGAGAGATAATTGGGTAAGATAATACTCATGTGACTTGTTCTCCAGACAGATCAGGGAGATAGATATCTAAGGCCTAGAAAAGTAAAGGAAGACTTGGAAGAAGGAGAGCCAAATGATAGGGGACGTTTTGATTCTTCCTTGCCCTAAAGAGCACTTAAGAAGTTTGGATAGGTGATGAATGATGATATGTTGATGGACCTGTAAAATTATGAACCAATTGAAATTGAATGATGACATTGATGTGGAATGAATGATTAATGATTGATGTTTCATTTTTGGTCAGTCCTCCTCGATCCCCTTTCATTCTCAGCTACAGGAATGATGCAAAATTTGGCATATAGAAATGTTGGAGTTTTTGACTTAAATATATTTGCACATTAGGGATTTGGGAAAAAAAACACCTTTTAAAAATTATGTGGACGAAACTGTGGGTTTCGAATTTTAGAAATTTGAAACAGGATAACAGGCGGATTTCTAAAATGCGGACAACAAAACTCGGATTTCTAAAATCCAGTTTTGTGTAATGTTAATCAGAGATTAAATTACTGGAAGAATTTAGTGTAATTAATATAACCACGGACTTCGTGAACCCGAATCCACTAATAAAATATTAATTTCCGGTAGGATGAAAAGATTATAAGAGTTGGAAAATATTTTTGGGCAAACTCGGCTTACGGAAATCCGATTTCGTGTGTAAACGGATTCTGTAAATACAGATCCCCTCTTTAGTAAAAGACGGATGATGGAAATTCGAAGTTGGATAAATCCAGATCACCAAAATCTGGATCTTCTCTTTGGCAAAAGACGCATTACAAAAATCCAACTTTCTTTGACTCCGGATTTCAGAAATCCGGATCTACTCTGTTTCTCTGAGAAACTGGAACTCCCAGTTAGCCATTGATTCGGATTTCCAATATCCGAGTGTTTTACAAAAAACATAGCTTCAGATTTGTGAAATCCGGATATGTGTCAGAATTGAAAAAAAATGGCACTGATTTTAACTAGTCTAAAACCTGTTTACAGCACCAACAACAATGAAACTTAGAAAAACAGAAATCTAATGGCAACAAAATAATAAACTTCATTTGATTAATAACAAAACATAACAAGTTTCAATCCATAATCAATTCAAAAACTACTTTCATGTAAAAATGCATCAACGGGCTCATTTTTTCCCTTTTCCTTTCCTAGGCGCATCCGGAGTGTATTTATTTGGCCCTTAGCGGATCCTGTCTTCCCTCCGAAGATGCGTGAGTATTGAACCCTATTGTTGACGCGGTTGGGGTTGGGGTTGGGGTTGGGATTGGGACTCTCCCATGGTGAGAAATAGGACTCCCGACTGTGGTTGTGACTCTCCACCAAATTGAGCCTCAGGTCTAACAATGTCTTCAAATTGAGTCTGGACCTGGATATGCGAGCCTCTAGAAGAAGTCTTCTCGCCCTCTCGTTGTTGATTTCCTGAACCATCACCCTCATTTTGTTCTTGCAATGACCGAAAGGGAATCACTATTTTTCGCTTTCTTCCTCCTCCAATCTTCTCTCTCGGGCACGGTTTCGATTTTTTACCCGGCGCAGGTTGTGAGGACAGAGATGGTTCGTCATCAACTAGGATTTGAGTATCATCCATGTCAATCTCATCATTTGGGCCCAAGGTTAAAGCATCATATGTTTGATCAATGATTTCGTTCAAAGGCTCCTCGAGTTGATCGTCTAGGAGATTCTTCTTATCTCTATCATCTCTAAACTGCTCCGAACTCATGTGAATGTTGTTCAATACTTCACCCTGAAAAGAAATTGGAACATTAATTAAAAGAGTAAAATACAAAATCATAAAAAGAGAAAAAAAAATAGAAGGAAAATATAAGAAATAAAAAATCAAAAATATAGAATGAACTTACATATAATTTCACTCGGCTCGAAGAAGTCTCATATCCTTTAGCTTCATAATTTTTGGGATTGGATATAAGCTTGACAGTATTCATCATGAACCATTCATAGTACCCCTCGTATGTTTGACCAGGGAATCCAACTTCCAAATCTTTTGGAACGTACTTTTCTCTCTTTCTCCAGTGAGGACGTACTGCAGAATGGTGATCCACCCAATTGTTGCTAGGTAGGCCAGACATACTGTGGGCGTGATCAAGAAGAAATGATGTGCGATCTTTAATCTTAGGGTCATGGGGAACATCCTGTATGTATCCAAATTGTCTCACAACCCTAGGCGACTCGTGGGGTTCTCTAATAGCCCAACAGAATATCCAACATCTGTTCGTCCAAATGGCTTGGCCTTGTTTACAGAAATCAGGGAGTTTAGGAAGAACGCGTGCATATGATTGCCACAGAAACTGCACGAAATGAATTTACAAATGGTATAACCGAAAAAAATTCAAAATAAATATTAGTACCAAATTAATTACTTACATCTCCAAGACGCAGGCTTGTTAATTGATCCCTAAAAGGTGCAAAGCTGCTCCTTGGAACGTCTTCGTAGGTGTACGAATATTCCCACCTTAATGAACAAACACGAAAGAGTTACATTTTAATTATTGAAAAATTAGAATAAGAATAAAATAGGGTAAACATTGAGTTATTTTGAAATAAAAATACACACCGTTGTGCTAATGGAAAGGTATCATCCAGGATATAATCTAGTGCTACTCTTTTTGGCGTGATTCTCGAGATCTACTCATACTCTCATACCTAGTAAATTTCAATAATAATGTTAACACTTCAAACAATAATGTCAAAAACAAAAACAATTACAACGCCTAATGAAAACTAATACGTACTTGTAGCAAGTACACACAACTAGTGATCTCGTGCATGGTGTATTGGGTTGCCTCGTACAGGCCAGGATATAAACAAGCCAGCAGGGCCGATCCCCAATTGTATTAACTACACTGCTCCAAATCCTCAACCTGGGCCAACAACTGCCGATTGATAGTATTTTGACTCTTGGTAGGAAACATGAAACTGTTCATAAAATGCTCTCGACTGTGGAATCCTCAGGGAGTGCACGTTCCATGTCATCCTCAAAAACACCAATCTTGACAAATCGGCCATTTATTGCGGCTGGCCGGAATCCCAAATAAGTCTCACATCTCGCCCGCCATTCCTCTGCACTCCGGCTAACTGTCATCCCGTACACCGGCTCACCATCTACCCGGATACTAAAGAGGACCTCGACATCTTGTAGTGTCACAGTCGCCTCTCTAAAATTGAAATAGAAAGTGTAGGTTTCTGGCCTCCACCGTTCCACCAACGCGATAATGAGACAAATCCACTCTTTTATAGCCTACTTTCATTATCCTCTCAAAACCGGCTCTTTTAATGATTTCCTAAACCTAAGGTGCCGTATGATCATTGTATATCTCCCAAAATGAGCTATCGTATCTACGGCCCTTGAAGCGGAATGTTTTAATATTGTCGATCTTGTTCTCAAAGACAGCTTGGACCTATGGGTTTTTCGAAGGTATATTACTTTTTCTTGTACCGGCCCTGGTTAAAGACGTTTAGGGTTATATTTTGAGCTAGATGAGCTAGCCATTGCAATCCTACATTCGGCAACAAAAGAAACATTTGCACATCAATACTATGCACATGTATATTCACTATATTCACAATTAAAACTATAACATAAACTAAACTAAAAGCATAACATAATTCCAGAAGCTATAACTAAACTAAACTAAACTAAAAACATAACTAAACTAAACTAAACTAAACAGAAGCTAAAAAAAGAACTAATCATTACCACAAGCTATAAGGTATTTCTAAACTCAACTAAAAGCATAACTAAACTAAACTAAAATAAAAATGTTGAGGGTTATATTGCGAGCTAGATGAGCTAGCCATTACAAATCCTACGCGACAATCACACAAAAAGGTTTTTTTATTAAGACAAACAGACAACAAAGAAATGCTAGACCTACAAAGTTAAGAATATAGACCCAAAAATCAAAAATAAACATCATTAAAGGATTGTAAAATGTAAATATGCAACACCAACCTGAATCTTCATCAATAATTGTTCCAATATAGGGCAAAAAAAAAAAAAATTCAACCATGCATATACAAGTATTACCAACTTTCAAAATCTAAACAAAAACTACAAGATCATTCAATTCACATATTCAGAAGGCAAGAATCTGCCACCTTTGCCAACTACCAAACAAGTGCATTTTGTATCACTAAAACTTTTGCATCATTTGCTCCTTTCAAAAAATAGTAAGGCAAGTGAAAGTAAAAAAACAATACATTCGGATTTCAAATTCCACTATAGGGCGAAAAAAAACCGGAATTCATTACATACTCATCAATACATTCATTCGACATAAAGAAATAAATTAGGCAAAAAATGAGGGAGAAAAAAACTTACCGGATTACGGAGTCACTGAATGGAAGAGTTGGAAGTCACAGTCGCCGGATCAGAGGAGTTGGATGTCACAGTCGCCGGACGGAGGACTCGTTGAGGGGGAATGGACGGGAGTTAGTCGCCGGATAGAGGGGAGTTCAAATTGGAGGGAATTCGATGCCGGCAATGGAGTAAGTTGCCGGACAGACGCTTTAGAATTGGGACATCAAGAATTCGAATTCGAAGCAGCGGACGGAGGAGATTGAGTCGCCAGACGGTGGATTTGTTGATTTGGGTCCTGGATTGAGTCGCCAGACAGGGAGGAGCGGTGGACGGGTGAACTTGGTCGCCGGACAGGAGGGGGTAGTGAAAATTAGGGTTTTTCAATCGGGTATTGGGGAAAATGAAATGGGGGAAGAGTTGACCGGCCTTTTATAAGCCCGTTAACTTCGAATTTCCGTAATCCGGAACAAAAATCTTCGGATTCCCAAAGTCCTAATCTCCTCTGTTTCTCCAAAATTGCACACTCCTGGATGGAATTTCTGAGTACGAAATTCCGAAATCCGGATGTAGTACAAATTGGGTTAACTCGGATTTTCAAAATCCGAATTACATGTTGTAGGAAATCTTGCTTATTTCGGATTTTCAAAATTCGGGCTCAATACAAAATGGGAAAACTCGGATTCCTGAAATCCGAGCCCAATACAAAAACAAAATGTCCAATTTTTTTTTTTTTTTTGCACAATCCCAAAATCTAATATCAATAACTAGTATCAATTTTCATCACAATCACAGCACCAACAATTCAATGTTAGCATTAAAATTCGAACAATTCAATGTTAACATTTCAATCTGAATTTATCAATACAAAAAGTTATAGGACATCTAATTAAACAGTTGTGATTCCAGCTGTCATTCACAGGTCTTCTATCTACTCTTGGATGCGAGTAAAGATAAGAATTGGTATCGTGACCTTGTTGTCTACATCTCCAACATTTCCCCAGCTCGGGCGTCCTCTGTAATCTATTTGCATTCTATGTCTCCTTTTTTGCGTTCATCCAGGTCCTGCATTCAAAATTCGGAATGATATTCCAATCGACCGCCGGCCATTGTTGCTCATCGGGAACCGGAACAAAACTCGTGTAATCAAATTGTCTGCGCCATGCTGGAAGGCACCACAAACTATGGTATAGATCAATAGGTCGATCCCCTTTTTTCCGGCAAACGACATGAGCGTGCGTACAAGGCATCCGTACTCTTGCCACTTCCAATACGAACACCTATATTCATCGTAGTGCACCGTATGCAAAGACCCACTCATGCCACTTAGCCGTATAGCAGTAACCACCCGCCACCTAGCATCATCACCATCAAAAGGGGAGGCATCATAGCTGGTTGCTTTGTCGTTCATTTTCTCGTATTTTTTTCATAACTCAGGAGGGATCAGTGTCATGCAATTTCTCGCCAACAATTGTTTGTCTCTGTAGAATTTTATAGTTTTTGTAAAAAGTTGCATCGATCAAAGCTCTAACTGGTAAAAATCGGATCCCTTTCAACTCATTGTTGTAATTCTCAGAAATGTTGGTTGTCCCTATGCCCCAACAGCGACGACCGGTTTTCAATCGAGCCCAGTTAGTCCTTCCAATTCCAAGAAGATACTCCCATACCGCAGGTTTGAATTCAATAAGCTCTCCCTTCATACTGTTGTATTTTTGTCTTGAAAGCGTCGTGCGCATCTTCATACATAACTACTTCAACTTTCTGCTCTTATTTCGCGACACAAGATTGCTGTGAACGTGGCGGAGCCAATAAAAGTGACCACTATCCCCTAAGTCACGCCATTCATCCATCTGTGATATTGCTCTCAACAACCCTGCATTCCGGTCGGATATCACACTTATGATTCTATCATGCACAATTCACAACCTCAAATTCCTCATAAAAAATGCCCAACTCTCTACTGTCTCATCATCCATAATCGCAAATACAATCGGTAAAATGTGCTTGTTTGCGGTATAGACCACCACAACAAGCAATTTACCCTTGTATCCACCACGCAAATGTGTTCCATCGATATAAATGACCGGTGGACATTCAAGAAACATCGCAGTCACTGGTGCAAATGACCAGAAGACGTATTTAAATGTCCTATTTTCTCTGTTCCAACCTTCTTTTCCCTACTTCCATACCCACTCTACTGCAGTCTCAGGATTAGTAAACTTAAGTGCAACGATATACCTACACAACAAACGAGTCATAGTTAAAAAATTTCAATACATGTAACCCAGAAAAAAAAAATGCACATATCAATTATAAAAATTGATATTTACCTAGGAAGTTCTTCGAAATTCGAGGTCCAATCACCATAGACCGCTTCTATGGCTTTCCTCCTCCCGTGCGACGCCCTTTTGTATGACACATCTACTTTTAATAATGTCTTCACATTTTTCTGTGTCGAGGCCACCGTATAACCTACGTTGTCCTCAACCTTTCTCCTGATGAGTCTAGTAATCAAATATGCGTCCAGACACCGATTGTCATTATCATTCACAGGAGTCATGCAATTATGTACATCATGCCATCTCACAATTTGATGAAGGGCGTGATCTTTCAAAGACACACGCATCTTCCACTCTCATGGTAGATCACTATCCTCACTTGGTACATCTAATGTTCTGCACTGCACAGCCCATGTCGTTGGCCTACTCGCAACAACCCTATATTCTCTTTTATGATGGATGTTCCATAATTTCACAGCATGTTTTGCTTCTGATTCAGATTTGAAACAAATACCAATGTCCATTCTTTCGAGGGTCTCATCCCACATCTTAAGAGCAAACTCATCCTTGTCCTCACACGAGATATCCCATTTCCCCATCTTACTATATACATGGCGTCGGAGCAATGGATTAAAATCCCTTTCCTCATTTTGTAATAATTCATCAACACTTTCCTGTATATCACTATCTTCAGAGAACTCACGGTCTTCTTTGCATTCGCTTGGAGCTATGTAGTCAGAATCCTCATCTTCCACGTAGTCATCTTGTGCAAATATAGGTGTCTTCTCTTCATCACAGTTTCGAGAAGTACTAGCACGTTCCCCCCTTGGAAAATCACCATACATGTTGTTTTCCAAACTCGCTTCTCTTTCTTCGTGAGTGATATCTTCTAAATCTATGTATAAATCCAAACATGACATTGGAGCTACATAGTTCATGAACTCCACATGTGAATCATTCTTGATCTTCACTACACGCCTACTACCGGGACTATCGAAAATTACAGAAAGGTGGAGTTTCACGTGTGCTGGATCCCAACCAAGTGTCATACAAATCTTACTATTCAATTCCACATATAACAACCTTTTCTCAACAAACAAGCCATCATCCGGCGAATTTGAAAAAGTGTTGATGATACCATTCTCTATCACATACTTACTTGTATGAAACAAATTAAGCATGTATGATACATTACATGCCATTGATAATTGTTTTAAAAAAAATCAATATCTAATCATTTCTTAATAACGAAATCAACAAATACACCATTCACCATACATACTCCATTCAAAATTCAAAAAGTCTATACAATCCTATAATACTTAGAAATCAACTTCTATATCTCATGAACAATTATGATTTCTCATCTCTAACCTAAAAATCAACACCTAAAACATCCAAACAATCAACAAACTAAACCCTAATATATCATAAATCATTCTAACAATAGAAATAACACAAAAAATAAACTAAATAAAATGATTTTACTCACTAACCTCTTTCAAATAACGACTCCCCACGTAGTTAGCAGTAAGGTTACATCAAAAACTCCAAATTGCCACCCAAGAGCCACAGAATAAAAAAAAAATGAGACAGTTCTTTTTTTTTTCTTTTATATCCCAGCAAACTCGAATTTCCGAAATCCGATTCAACGTAAGCTCGGATGTTAGAAATCCGAGTTTCTCAAATACATAATTTTTAATTTCGTTTTTTGGTCCTCTAATTTATGACAGATGCCTACTTTCACCAACTAAAATTAAAGACATCCGGATTATCAAAATCCAAATGTATGAATCCGGATAATGGAAATCCGTTTTAACAATTCAAACAACTAGCGCCACAAATTTCTTTTTAAAATATTTTATTTTATTAAATTCGGATTATGGAAATCCACATAATACTATTCATATTCTGACCAAGTTTGACTCTTTTTTCACAAAATAAAAAATCTATTATTTTAATATTATTTAATGATTCGAATTTTGGAAATCTGATTGTTTAATTTCATTAGTAATTCGGATTTTTGAAATCCGGGAGACATATTTATCCACATATATTTCCAAAAAATTAATTTTGTTTACCTTTTTTTTGTGAAACTTTTTTAGGGAAAAGACACAGTTGGAGTTTTTAGGGAAAAGACCCAGTTGCACCTAAAAGGGATTAGCTATAGCTTGTAATTGTCCATAGCCCTTGACCCTCACCCATGGCCAATTGGCCATCTATCTAATAATAGATTCTGAATTTTTTATTGTGTCATTAATCTATAGACTTGAGCGTATGTCTTTATCGGTTGAACGTTAATATTATTTTCGTTTTGAAATTATTGTCCACTTTAGAAATTTAATTTTAATTTAAATTATGTTAAAAATAAAAAATTTAAACTGTATGATAATTTTGGGACAGAGAAAATATTAGTTTGAAACATATTTTTCGTCCTTTGAAAATTTAGAAATGTAGTCCTAAAAATTACTCCAAATATTTGGACAGGTAACAAGGACAGATGTAATAATAATTTAATAAATTGTAAATCTTGACTCTCCAAGAAAAACGGTTTTTAATCCACAATACAATCTCCCGTAGTCCTCCATCATACCCAAAGTATCATCCTAAATTTTGACTATCTCCACCACAGTAGTCAGTCAGTAGAACTCAATCTTCGAAATCATTGACGTGAAAATTTGACTATTTTGACAGAGTGAGAAATGGTTGAGTTCATATTCTTGAAGGTCATCTATTGTGTATCTTCCACACAGTTTTTAGTTTTTAGTTTTTACTCCCACCGTACCCTTGTAGATTACACAGAATTTCTCTCCATTTCGTTTTATTTGCTTCTTGCGATTGAATATAAGCTAAGCCGCGTGTTCATCTAATAAGCATAAATCTCTCACATCTTCATCCTCATTCCTTATCACCAATCTTCTAGCTAGTTAATTCAACACCATTAATGATTGAAAAATGGTCCTCCAAATAGTGGCAATAACCCCCTTCTGGTTTTCCACCTATATAAACTCTTCTATCTTCCCATTTTTTGGGATACCAAACTCATCATCCAAAAATTGTTTATCACTGCTTATTTCATCAACTTGCTCACCATTTGGCTTCAATTCTCCATACGTACGTGGTAATTCTCTTCTACACCAGATTTCATTAAGCCAACTACATATTACATAGACTATAGTTGCGTTCAATTAGTAAGAAGCACCCTTGTAGTCCGAACATGCGCTTCCCTAATTTGTTTCGCCTTCTATATTTCAAGTACTTGAAGTCATTTTAAGGTGTTTGTTTTGCATACTAGATATTGTATCATTCAATTTTTGCTTATTTCTCTAACCTTTGCCATGCATGGCTCAAATTAACCTCATAATACTTTTACTGATTACCTTCTCTTAAGGTGAATTTGATTTACCATTTCTTCTCTTTCTCTAAACTGCAGGACTACATGTGCTTGTTTACGGAAAGATCAAACATTGCTGTTGATTCTTCTTTGGTCAAATCTGCATAGATATATATATACCTCTTTACCAGGTTAGGGCTTAAAACTTGGATATATCAAGCCATACATATTTATGTTCGAATATAAACATTTTGGTTACAACTTATCATCGTTGTGATTAAATGCATACTAGCAAAACATACATGGCACAAATTCTGTTTGCTCTTCACTTTACTTGGTTCTTCTTTTTTTCTCCCTTCTCTTTTCTCGTTTCGGGTTTCCAATTTTCCGTCGGCTAGCCAGCGAATTATTGGAAATTTTTGATAAATACTTAAATAGTGAGTTTAGATTGAAGTTTCTACCTTCGAAAACAAAGGTACATAAGTGTGTTAAATTACAGAATACTAATTAAAGTTTTATTGGAAAACCTGACAAGGCTCATGTCACCGCATTCCTATATACATAAATTTCAAATAATTAGTTCTAGGAAACAATTTTAATCTCTCTTTAGATTTGCCCTACATCATAATGGATGGCCCTTAGGACACTATTTATGTGATAAAGTCCGCAAACACTAAATTTGTGATGATGATTTTAGTTTTAGAGAATTGAATGATGGTACATTTTCTTCATTTAGGAGTAGTATCTTACAATACACTGATCACAAGCACATGAAATATTTATTAATGCACGTCACATCGATGTCATTATAAATGAAAAGTATTAAAAATATCACAATGGAAATCATTGCATTTAAATATTAATTGGTTGACTGTGGACTAGGGTGATTCTGATTTCTGAAAGCTTTGATGGGATAGTTACGTGAGACTCTAGCGTAATTCATAAATCAATGGTGCGTTCAATATAATACTTGAAACAAAATGTAAATGCATAAATAGTGTTGGGACAATTTTTTATGAATAGGTAATTGTGCAAAACCTGAAACTTTTAAAAATCTTTTATCATAAAAGCACACATTTTTTCATTTGAGTTCGTATTCATCCCCTCCATAGCTAAACTAGTCAAGTTTACGGCTAAAAATCACTTCTTCCACTTTATAGGAATAGTTTTATTGTATTGTTTTAATTAAACAACACTATTTGTGAGACAAATAACGTATACTTTTTCACATTCGTAAACGTCTTACATATTTTTTTTTCAACATTCTACAACCTTCTTCCAGGAAAGTAAAAACGTGAAATTCAACAGTAGCCCGAGTAGTTGTGATTGATTATTGGCCTGGCCAGGCTGACAGTGTTGTTGCGCACCTATATAAAAGAACAAAAGTCGGGGGGTCTAACCTATGACAATCTCAGACGTGCAAGGCCTCGGTAATCAACTGTCCTTGTTCCAATGGAATTATACAAAGATCTCCTAACAATTTGTCGCCATGGCCAAAAACTTGATAAATAGCAACTTAGTAATCAGAGTAATGTTTGGCTTGTGCGTCCAAAGCGATTTGCTTGAGGAAGCAAAAAAAGAAAAAATGAAAAATGAAAGGGTGTGAGATATATATGGAGTATTATTTATACAATATTTTTGCGTCGCATGGAGTAAAATAAAGTGAAAAAGACATAAAGTAACATTAGTTGCATCACTAAAAAAGAATTTAATTTGAGGTGGTCGAGATATATGTTAGGGATATTGAATATCCATTCTGTCCATAATGAATATTAGGCAACAACTTTCTTTTGGCGGGGTAAAATCCGAGCCGGAAAATACAAAATCCCGGTGAATGTTGATAACTGAAAGTCAGAGGGACCCTTTTGGACTTTTAGGGCCAAATCCTAGCCATTTTTAGGCCGTTGCAGAGGAAGAGGACAGACGGGTAGGGGGGGGTCAACCCACCTGAAAGTAGTATATTTGTGTTGGAAAGCCAACCATTTTTCTTTGAAGACGAAGCTAGAAGAAACGTGGCGAAAATGGTTTCATTTTCATATGCGTTTTTCTCCCTGTCCTTTACTTCTTTGTACCTCACTATAGGACACAAATCCTTGTCCCTGGGCTATGTTCTTCCTTGACCTTTTCATTACTTTCCATTATTTTCCTTATCATTTTCTTGTAACTTACAACTCTCGATTTGTCCTCTCCTTTATTTGCCCCTTGGGGCTGACTACGGTGTGATTTTGCTACGCGTAACACATGATGGAGTCGGTAAAAATATTATTATTATTTAAAAATAAAATAAAAAATAGTAGTATCAATTAGAGAGCGTCATTGATCTGTGCAGATTATCTCAATCTCTTTATCAATTGCGCTTGGGTCAATAATACTGAAAAGAAAAAAAAAAAGAAAAGATTTGTTCTCAACTTTATTATTTACGTGTCTAGTTTGACTTAATGAGTTAGAATTGAAGGCCTTTAACGTATAGTAAATGAAGATTACAATTTTCATAATGCGCACGTAGACTAGTGAGATAGATATCAATTAAATGATGAAGCTCAAGTGCATTAAATCCACAGGGAGTTTGTTGAAGGATGGAAAATATACGACAAATTCACCTGCATGTCATCACAAATTTTGACTATTTTAGTTATAGGGATGCAATTGAAAATAATTCATAAATTAACAGACCACATTGACACATGTTTTTTTAAAACTACGGACTAAATCGAAACATCATATAAAGGTAAGGGGTTTATTTGCTATATTTAATCTTATCATTTTATTATTATTATTAACATGTCCAGCGTTCGGTTTGGTAATTGAATTCTATACCCCTCGCAGGGGCCTATAAAAACACGAAGAAAGCAGCCAAAAACTTTGCTCAACACAAAATCCAAAAATGTTGATGAGAATGATGGAAGAAGTGTCTTCATCCCAAGTCGATCCGCCATTCCTAAAAACATACAACAAACTGTTTGACAACTTAAACGAAACCGCTTCCGGCGCCGCCGGCCAAAAGCTTATTCGTGACGCGGAGCTTTTCAGTCTAGAACAATGGGAGCTGCCATTGATTGATCTTGAGAAGCTGAACAAGGGAGAATCCCAAAGAGCAAAATGCAAGGATGAAATAGCCAAGGCATCCAAAGAGTGGGGTTTTTTCCAGGTGATAAATCATGGGATCCCTCGTGAGATTTTGGAGAAAATGAGGTCGGAACAAATCAAAGCATTCAGGCGACCGTTTCATGAGAAGGTTGAAAGTAATGATGAGGACTCTATCTTGGCCGAAAGTTACAAGTGGGGGACTCCGTCGGCGACTTGTCTCGATCAGTTGTCTTGGTCGGAAGCTTATCACGTACCTCTCAGCTCTATCTCAGCTTCAGATGAATCCGATCATCATTATGGTGGCGATGGTCTCCGGTGAGTTTACTTAAATCCTTTTGATTATTTATTTTCTCTTTTGTATGATGAATAAAAACTTTAGTTATAAGCTTGCGAAAAGAAAAATAAAAAATTAGGGATTACCAGAATCTCATCTCATGATGCCCTTTAAGCGGTTCAAAATAAATGCTAACAACATTGGTGATGGATTTCACTATGCGGCTAAAATTATCCAACTGGTCCCTCGATTTTAGGACTAAATTCTCTTTAAGGACCAAACTTGCAAAAAGTAATTGTATCAATTAACTAATTAAAGGGTGTTTCTCAAATTTGAAGTTCACTGTGCGACACTTAGTTGTTTTAAAATGTAAATAAAGATTTGGTTCAAATTGAGGAAAGAGAGCAAGATTAATGTCAAAATTGAGGAATTAACTGAAGGGGGACTATATACCTCTTGAATTATATATCTAGAGACAAATGGAAGGAGGTGGGTGAACAAGGACACAAAATGCACATAAAATATGGTAGGCTACCTCTAGAACATCTGAGAAATCGTACGGAGCAACCACTTAATTGTATAACAAATTACTGCCCGATAAGTAGCTTCAAGTTAATCATACTACCCTAGTAGGGTCCTAATAACTGACACTACTTTATCCAAAAATAAATGAGAAGAAAAAGAATTAATATATGTGAATCTGTTAATTCATGGCCTATTGGTCGTTGTTGCACATACGTAGGTCCTATTATCTTTTATTTTTATATATAATTTTTTGAACAAATAGGTCCTATTATCTTCATAGTGCTGTTACACAAGCCAAAACCCTTTTCTTCTCCTAAATTGTAAACTTGTCATAGTTATGTAACTGCTTTTTTTTTTTTTGAATTAAAATAAAAAATGAAAGCTGTCAGAAATCTCGTCTAAATGTCTAACCCTCCATGATATGAAATTTATATTCGATGTTTCTTTCATAAAAATATATAATAAAGTAAAATATAAAATATTAGTCTGATTTAGTGCATGTCTTTGTCTAGTGTTGCACAATTACTCATTTGACTAATGTCACTTTGTTGTGGAAATTAAAGTAGTGAATCGATGTGCCGTCATCTGTTTTTTTTTTTTCCTGCTTCAACTTCTTATTTTTGTGTATATGTCTTCAACTTCCTATATACTTGACCGTTTTATTTCGGTATATTTCACTGTCAATTCTTGACGTGATGTTAATTTAACTTCACTATTTATTCTGATTTCAAATGGAAGATTTAGTTCCAGCATATTGAATTTACTAAATGTTTATCAACATGAAAACGTGATCTTATTCTGATAATAATACTTCAAATCGATCATTTAAAAATCTAAGATCAAATCCGATTAAGGTCTAACAATAAACATCGGTTCTTCCATATATATAGTACAGTATATATTTATTTATGTATAAAAAGCTATTATAACATGGCACGAACCAATGGTTTCGCTGTATAGTGATTGAAATCCAATAATTCAGAGTGAGCTACTTATTGTGTTCGTTGACTTTTCAAACGTAGTGGTGATTGTCAAAAGAGATTCTTGTGTAGGAGCTAGATAATTAAGGATGCCATAAGGCAGTGCTTATTTTTATATTTTTCATATTATCATAGGTGTTTATCGTCGACAATACTAATTTCCTAAATCATAAAATAGTATTTCAGTGTTAGTTTTGTTTTTTTTAATTTAATTTTGTTGGGAATATATTGAGTATATTGTTATTGTTGTTGTTTTATGGATACAGTAAGACTAATTGATATGATATTAATTTTTCAAATATAACCTAATGTTTTGAAATAAAAGAAATATTTTATATAAAATTAGAGCAGAAAATTCTATTTTCATGCCAAATAGATTAAGTGGTGTAGAAAGGACAGGAAGTAGGGCTGCCTCAAGTAGAACTTAGCCTTACGTAATGTTTATGGTTGAGAGGGAATGATAATGACACAGTGAAATGACTAACGCTTTTTGTAATGGTCTGCAAAGCAAAGCTTGTGCTCAAAAAATCTCAATGAAAAGGATAAGGTGATAGATAGTCTATTCAGAATCATTTGGGTATGGAAGATATGAAATCGTACATCTGTAACTCCCTAGATAAAAAGATTGGATCATGATCTTGATGAACAATATGTAATAATAACGGGCTCCTGATTATTTTGTGATCCGCTTTTTTTTTTTTTTTTCCTTACTTATGAAACCATTTAAAACCAATTTCCAAATTTAAGTAAGTCAAAATTAGGTCGTATTTCGAACTTTTGCACTTTTGAATCCGATTGTTTTTGTTAAAACGATACGATTCAAAGTACCGTAAAATAGTTAATTACATATTGCTCTGAAAATCAGTATCCCATCGTACGTATTATGTGTTAGCTAGGGAGTTTTTAGAGATATTAACAGTTGATATTTTCCATTCCCAAATGATTATAAAAAGACTTGTCATCACCTTTCTTCTTTACTCAGCGAGAGTTATGAGTACAAAATCCATTACATCATGTCGTGTTAGTCATTTTACTGTGTCATTATCATTAATTATGAACCATAAACATTACTCCTTCCATTCACAAATAGATGTCGTTGGAGGAAAACTCAAATATTCCAAAATAGATGTCGTTCTCACAAATCGAGGCATATTTTGTCAATTTTTTCCAATATCACCCTTACATTGGAAATTGTTGTGATGTTTAATGTAGAATTGTATTAGAAGTGAATTTTATTGGGACTACAATTGAATTAAGAATAAATAAGGGTATTATAGTATTTTAACAAGATAATTATTGCCTCCTTAAATTTTGTGAAATCTCTCCAGCGATATCTATTTGTGAATGGAGGGAGTACATGGGGGTAACTTATTTCTATCTCCAAGCAAAGCCTATCCTAGCATCCCACATTCTTCCTTTTTTTAATTTTTTTTTACCACCGCCAAACCATTTGGCACGAGAAGCAAATTTTCTTTTGCTTCAATTATTAAGAATTAAACTTTTTAAAGAAGTAACCACATCAATTGTCTGATTTGAATTCACCCTCAAAATTGAATGAAATTTGTTGTTTTAAATTGAGTAAGTACTCAACATGTTACCAAGCCGACCAGGAGACCAGATCTCCATCCGTAATTTACTCTTAGCTCTAGAGTACTAGAAAAATTTGACATGAATAATGTGGTAGGTCTATGAATAAAGATTAAACTGTTCTTAGGCGAAGAATATTTGTTATTGAACATGTCAGCACCCTTGGTAGATCCGAGTATAGGGAAGATTCCACTGGCATTAATTTGTCTGTAGACAACACAACACACAATATTCTTTGGGTAATATGCATTCAACCTGCACAATTGACCCGATTCCCGAAATCTACTCTTTTTAACCCGTATTAATAGTCTACGTAATTTATCAATTTTATTTATTTTTTTTTAACATTAAAGTAGACTGTCTTTTGAAAAGAAAGATTGAATGACTCAATTAGTTTTCCATCTTGGCCATTTGGTTTCGTATGATCTTCACAGGTCGTTGATTGACATTGGCCAGGTAAACCAAGATTTTTTTTGAAGCAGCTATATCATCATTGTAATAATGTACAAGTTTCTGAGAACAAAACTAAATCATAATTAACATGTCCCCTCTCGAGCTATACATGTTGAGACTGACCAAAGACAAGGCAAATTTTTTTGTGGCCAAATCTGAGACAGCTTTACAACATTCACCATCATAGCTTATTTTTTCATGTTTCTTAGTACGTGGCGCTTTTACCACATGCATGAAAAAAAAAAAAAAAACTATATCCATATTTGCTTGAAGATTTGAAGATGAACAAGAAATGAGAGGGCACATGGAATTACACCTAGACAGGTCAAACATGGAAGCATAAAGATTTCCTTGTGTCATTCTGTTCCCTCTTTGTTTATTCATCTTCGAGCTACTAATTAAACACACAAAATAATTGCACTCGTCATGTTAGGATTTATGTGCCATATATTCACATATAGATTGAGAATGACGTTTTCTTAGTTATTTTTGCCAATTGGACTTCAAAAACATTAATTGGGATAGACACAAATTACTCCGGATTACAAATAAGACTTTGTTTTAGGACAAGAATATATTCTCATCCTCATGCATAAATCTTTTAATAGGGTGGATCTTCTTCTTGATATTTTCAACTATTTTGTTTGCTCGTTTGCACATGAAAGAATTACTAGTTTTTTTTTTTTTTTTGGGGGGCATGATTATAAGTAGTGATCACATGCAGCCGGATTTGCTAATTGAATTCTTTGATTCTCATATGCGTAATGTGATGTCTGAATTCAGCTCAACAATGAAGAACTGTGGGAAGGCAATGTCAGAGCTAGCACACAAGCTGGCAGAAATCTTGGCTGAAAACTTGGGTCATAAATCAACTTTCTTTAGACAAACATGTTTGCCAAGCACTTGCTACCTTCGAATGAACCGTTACCCACCTTGTCCCATATCTCCTCACGTTTCCGGTTTGATGCCACACACAGACAGTGATTTCATCACCGTTTTACATCAAGATCAAATTGGAGGTTTACAGTTAGTGAAGGATGGGAAATGGATCGCAGTTAAACCCAACCCCGACGCCCTAATCATTAACATTGGCGATCTATTCCAGGTACTTGGTGTACATGCATGAAAATAGAATATTTTACGTGAAACTATTAACTAAAATTGTGCTCGAACAGAGTCGACTATTAAAATGAGACAGATAAAATACTGTTTGACATGTCTGATAAGTATGGCTTATTTAAATTTTGGGCAGGCATGGAGCAATGGGGTGTACAAAAGTGTTGAACACAGGGTGGTGACCAATATGCTGAATGAAAGGTTCTCCCTTGCATTTTTCCTGTGTCCATCGTACGAGACTGTAATTAAAAGCTGCGTGGATCCTGCAGTCTACAGAAGATTTAGCTTTAAGGAATACAGGGATCAAGTCCAAGATGATGTCAAAAAATTTGGTCACAAAGTAGGTCTCCCGAGGTTTCTAGCAGTCTAAAAATCTTCATTCCGAAAGTTGTAATATCCTTTTCAAATTAATTAGTATACCCCCGCTGCCATATTTATGGCTAATGTAGTTTTACAAATATACCATATAAAATAGTGAGGAAAGAGCTAGGATTTGATTATAATATAACTATCTAAGCATCGATGAGAGGATCACTTCGTACTCGCTAGTGATTTGTAGAATGGTTTTTTTTTTTTTTAAGAGTAACATATATTAGGGTTCAATTGTTGAATTTCTCTAAATCAGCATGAGTTGTAACATTTTTCCATTTCCATCCAAGGAAAAAAAGAAAATGCTACGTCTGATCGGCCTTGAATTCCATGTCTTACGATTCGATGTGACCGTCTGAGTGATATATATTCATCACTTTTAGCAATTTGCAAAAATAGGTGTTGTAAATGTCGATATATTTTCCATTTCGGAGAAACGCTACAAAAAAAAATGGACTAAGTCTCAAAAAGTTTGCTCTCATTCCGTCCAGATAATTTTCTTGTCCAGATGAGCATTAGCTAACATTAGTACAATTATTCATTCATCGCATCAAGTGCTCACTTTCAACTTGCATAATTAATTTAAAGACTATATTCAGAAACTGACTGAACTAGTCATGTTACCTAAGTCAAGTTCAGTTTAATCTTGTGATTATGTAACCCGGGGGACATAATGGTTGTAATGGAGTCAAGTCAATGGTTATTAAATTTTGACCAACTCTATCATTTGACAATCTATTAATCTGTTGGTTCACTGCATTTCTATAGTTTAAAACACAAAGCAATTAGGTAACGACGGGAGGAGTAGAATTTTAATGACATATATTACTACTATTTTTTTAGTTAGTAACTCACGAGTCATTCTCTTGATTTTGTATTGATTGTCAGACGTAATAAATGTTATTACTTGGTTGTTTATGATCAATATTGTCACAAGTCCTTTTTTTCTCAAAAATAAAAAATAAAAAAAAAATCTCCCCCCCTGGTTGCATTATAATGATACCGCAAAACATGGAAATCATCACTACCGTTGTCTTTCAAATTTAGAATATAAGAAGTAAATTTTGGGTTTTGCCTTCCTCAATCCTGACCAGGCTATATCCATCACTATTCAATCAGTTGTGATCAACTACATATCACTTATTGTCCAATCTATATAGTCATTTTACTCATTCCTATAAAATTCTTACTACATTTTCAAATATATCATATACTCTCTCCCCGGTCCTTATTATAAAGCATTTTGATTTATCCTAAATTTCACCTGATATTTTTTTTGAACCTTAAAACTATATTTTTACATTCATCGTGTCCTCCTAATTATTATTCAGTATTTTTAAAATTATTTCTCAATTGAAAAAACATACTAAGTGAAACTTAAAATAAATTAAAATGCCTTGTAATAAGGACCGGGGGTGTACTATAAAAGGTAGTAATTCTCAACTCAGTTGTACGCATATATAATTTTTCAAAAACTTAGGGGAGGTATTGTAATTAACCAAAAACCAACTGGTACTTAAAATATCTTTGACTTTATCTTCACTGGTCAAAGCAGGAAAGCCACTGTACTCTGTATCCTCCCCGCCTGATCTTGCAGAACTGACTGAGCAGGTGGCACCTGGGGATCAATTTTCACATTCACTTCTACAGTATCCGATGATTCCATCAACAACCTTAAGCTTATCGAACCTGCCATCCACGCCAACAGCCTCATCCTATTCCCCTTCTTCCTCTTCTGCTTCTTCTTCGCCTCCTCCGGCGGCCTCACCATCCCGGAAAATCAAGCCAAGCCCTCAATTAAACCGGTGGTCCCGAGCTCGGGCGGTCCGTTCGGGCAGGCCCCTCCAGAAATCCAATCTTGAAAACCGAAGGTCTTCTTCTTCTTCCGCTGATAATGGAAATATTTCTCCTTCCTCATCCACAATTAGTCGTAGTAGTAGCGGCGGAGAAGATGAATTTTCTGGCCCGGTTTCTTTATTGGTGAAAGAGAGCGGCGGGGTTAATGGAGCGGATGAAGCTGAACCAGTGGCGTCCTCCGCAGCGAAGTCTATCTATATGGTTTCTGATGGTACTGGTTGGACGGTGGAGCATTCCGTCACGGCGGCGTTAGGGCAGTTTGATTATTGTTTGGCTGATCGGGTTTGTGCTGTTAGTACCCATTTGTTCTCCGGGGTAAGTAAATTTTCCTTTCATTTCGTTTTTTTTTTTTTGTTATTTGTTTGTTGGATAAAATTGGTGGAGTGGTTAGAGTTTGTTACTGTTAGTTGCATTTGTTTAACTTGTTATTCTTTGAATTTTGTACTTGAAAGAATCCATTTCTATCTTGGTTTTAACTCCAGCTGTTGTCAGGTGAAGAGAAGCTACTGCTTTGGTTGTTTCGGGTGGTCAACTATGAGTTTAATTCTGTAGTGCTTTCTTGCATTTTTAAATATTTGCATACTTAAGTGACTGATGAGTATTGCAAATCCAGCTACTCTAGGGTAAAATTGGTGAAGAGAAAGTAATGATAAATATTCCTCTTAGTTTTGCTGTTGAATGATGAGTAGTTTCTTTGTTGTTGTAACTTTGTACTAGACGGAAAATAGTGCCAGTTTCTTTGAAGTTAAAACCTTTGTATGTGCTACGTTATTTTTTGTTTCTAAAGAAAAGAACCAGCAATAAATTTGCACTTAATTGCAAGGAGTGTCTGGTATCATCATTTCTTCAATGCACTATTGGATCATATATGCTCTGTTGTAACAATTTTGAAATGATTCCTTATGAAAACATATTTCGTTGGTTAATTACTTAATTTACCTGTTGCTTCGATTTGCATTCGTATGTGAAATCAGAAAAGAATTATGTTTAGGCATTCTTCTTCTTATGGCCACCATGTTAGCGAGGGAGGCATTGTCACTTGCTGTTGTAAGAATGCAATATACTGATGTGTATCTAGCACTTTGCTATTAATGATGTGAACTCCTGTTGCCTGCATTTGCTAGTTGCTATCTCTGAGTGAACCTTTACTGTTGCGTTAGATAATTTGTATAGTGGTACGTTTGTTGCAGTTCACTCTAAATGTTGCATATGGTTGAATTTGTACCTGAAATTAATTTATTTTCATCTTGGTTTTACTTTAGCAAATGATTATTCGAATCTGGTTGTAAGGATGCTATTTTGAAGAAGGAATTAGGTTTTTAATTAGCCTCCGAAATACCGGTGGATAACTATGAGGTTATTCCTGCTGTTATTCTTGCAGTGTTAAAAAATTTGCAGTAAGTGACTGGTGAATTTTATAATTCTTGCACTGTGGATTTTTATCCAGATGGTTAAGGTTGAATTGATGAGTAACCAGTGATTCAAGTGTTGGGATTGAGTTGGCATTTGAGCAATGTGTAGTTCTGTAGAAGTAATAATTTTTTATTAGATTGAAAAGAGCGTTTTGCTATCATCATTTCTTCTATTTACCCCTAGACTTTTGGATCTGACCGGAGCCAATTCTTATAGAATCTTTTTTGCTCAGTGATATAAGAATTTGTAAATGGTTTGCTTATAAAATCATATCCTGTTGTTTGGAATCCTGACTCCTCGGATTTGCTTATGCATGTAAAACCAGAAAAGAATCATATTTACGGGTTATCTTTTATTTATGATCACCAGATTAGCTGAGTTACTGTTGCTTGCTTTGGAACATTTCTCGACTAAAAAGCTTGCTTCTTGAGAACTTTAAGCAACCTTGGCGGCGCAAGTTTTCAACTTTCTTCTCTTCAGAAAGAAATATTGAGAGGCTTAATTGCTCTTTTGTAGAATTGCAAGTGGCACCTCATTCCAAGTTTAGCTTCTGAAAAGTAGCGCATTTTTAGAAGTTCGAGAAATTAATCTTATCACTAATAATCTGTCACTTTCACTTGGAATGGATAGAAAATTAAGCTGGGTGTCTTTACAAAGCATTATATCTAGCTTTAATGTAATTTTTGTTGAACTAAATTAAGGTTGAGCAAGAACTAGTTCCAAAATTTTAACTTTTGTGGCCATTTTCTTGCATGTGGTCATTCTGCTGCGGTATTCCTAAATGTTAAGATTGATGATTTGGATCGGCTAATGGAGGTTATAAAGCAAGCAGCCTTAGAAGGTGCAATGGTTGCCTATACTCTGGCTGACCCTTCCATGGCTGAATCCGCCAGACAAGCTTGTGAGCTTTGGGGTGTACCATCAGCCGATATTCTGAGTCCAATAACTGAGTCAATTGCTAATCATCTAGGTGTTACACCATCTGGCCTTCCGCGGTGGGCTCCTGGAAGGATCCGCTCCCTCAGTGAGGATTACTTTAAGAGGATTGAAGCAATTGAATTCACTATCAAGCAAGATGACGGGGCTTTACCTAGAAACCTGCACAAAGCAGACATCATTCTTACTGGTGTATCCCGGAGTGGGAAAACACCACTTTCCATTTATCTGGCACAAAAAGGGTATAAAGTTGCAAATGTTCCTATTGTCATGAATGTAGACTTGCCAAGTACTTTATTTGAAGTTGACCCTGAAAAGGTTTTTGCTCTGACTATCAATGCTGTCGTTCTGCAAACAATTCGAAAGGCAAGAGCAAGGACCTTGGGCCTTGATCACGAGACAATGTCTAACTATTCGGAGATCGACCATGTCAAAGCAGAGTTGGAATACGCTGCCAAAATTTTTGCACAAAATCCCGTCTGGCCTGTAATTGGTACGCACAGTCATCTTTTATACATCCTAAAGCCCAAAGATGCATATTTTGTTTGTCAATAAAGTCTGTTCGGTTCATGTTAGGACTTCAAGTAATGAAGGTATCTGTTTATATGAATGTTTAAGTATGGAGATTGAATCTTAACCTGGACTTGATATTGTGTTATTCGACAGAGGTTACTGGTAAGGCGATCGAAGAAACAGCAGCCATTGTGCTGAGGCTTTTCCATGACAGAAAAAACAAGTGCTCAATGCCTAGAATATCCAAACGCTATTAGGCACAACGGTAATAGTTGTTCCGCATACTTGCTTTTGCACCATATCCCTAGACCAAAGCTTTAGTAATTTGGTCTTCCTTCAGAAGGCTGTGGTGATATCCAGGGTTACAATTACTAAATATAGTTGTATTTCGCTTAAAATCGAGTCTACTATGCTGAAGGTATGTATTTTAAAGCCTTTAGAGCTGTGATGTTTCATCACTGTATTACGTGTTGCCTCACTAGGTTGTAAATGTAATAAATCAATAGGTGCCACTGTTCAATAAGTCAATGAGCAATACCTGAAAAGAATCAGAAATGCATGAGAATGATGGAAACCTCTTATAGTTGTGTGTAAATATTTTCTTAAAATGACTGCATAGCAAAATAAAGAAGGAAGCCTCTCATAGTTTGGTGGTTCATACTTCATACCTACTTGCTTGAAGTATATGTAAACAAACCAACAAGCAAGGCTTTTGGTAGTTTTGTGATGCAGAGGTGCTTAATAATAGTATATTTTTTTGGTAATTGAATGCTGCTGAGTTTCTGATACGAAGTAGTTGTCCATTTTATGAAGAATATGATCTTTAGTCTTTAAACATTTCCTAAGATGGTTGTGTTTTTACATGGGAAATAGGCCATACTCTTTGATATTCTGTTAAAAATATGAGTGAGCATGCAAATTTCATTCCCCAAAAACTAGGGACTCATAAGTTAGCTTTCAGTTTATGGTGGAAACTTGTTATCTTTTGTCGACCAATATTGGAGATCACTTAAGCAGTTCCAGTTTAGACAAGAAATCATTTTAGGCCATGATGAAAAGCATCTTAGGCAAGGTGATCACTTTCTTACTTCCAACCTTGAGTTTAAAGGAGATAAACCTCCACTTTTTGTCCCTGTCGAAGTAGATGCTCTGGTAGGAGCCGTTAAAGCTTAAAATATGTAACATCGTGAACAAAGTGCGAAGTTGAGCGCCTAAAGTTGTCCACTGAAAGCAAAATACATGTATACATTCATATAAAAAAGGATTACTTTTTTGGTTCTTCATTTAGATAGTGATAGACAGATGCAATACATAAAGCTCTCTTACATAATCTGCATTCCAACTCCTCCACTACTTGTTAAAAAAACTGCAGATTCTTGATCCTTTTGTCATAGTGCACTCTGTTGTTGTCTTCATCCTGTATATACTTAAGTTATGGACAACCCTTTTTAAAAGTGAAAAGTTGATGGCTTTTTGCCGTTACTGCTACATTAGCTTCTCTGTATTCACTCTTTTCTACCGCCCCATCGGGTGCCGCGCTTCTGAACCAAGAAACGAACGATCTTGAGAAGTTACAGTCAACTTGGTAACTGCCCTTATGTACTTCTGCCGAGTCCGTGTTAAAATGCTGATGTTTGGTTAATATTTTCCCTGCTTTTTTGTTATGTGGTTGCGCAGCTTGGCTTCTGGGCCATCACCATCAATTGAGGCCATCATCAACTCCATTGAGTTTGTTCATGGATAGTGTAAAGTATATCAAAAGTATTGTTCCCATGCTTGACCTGCAAAAACATGACAACATTGGGAATTGAAGCAAATGACAATGATTCTAGAACTACTTGAACTAAAACCTCATTAAAATCTAAACCTTAATGTGAATTATTTTTTGGAATGGAAGGAGTACAAGTTTAACATTTTGTTGAGATTTGTTTTTAGTGGAAAGTCTGCAATTTTTTTTTCTTTCAAAAAAGTATGTATTAGGAAACAGGTTTCCAAACATTGAGCCCCAGTAATATCAGAAACTGTTGCTGAATCCATCTCTCCAAACAATTTTTATAGTGACAATGTCCATTCTTCCCTAGGCTAGTGGTCCAAAAGACCCTGATTTTTTTGGTTGCTCATATTAGTTGAGAGAAACCACAGAAACTTTGTTTTTAGTGGTGAACAGGGTTCCGGTTCACAAAAAATGGTCGGCTACATAACTTTCGGTTCCCTTTGATTATTTTTATCGGAAAATCGCCACAAGATATGCTAGAATCTTCAAATGTGGTCATCTGATCTGTGGCATGCTTAGATCAATAGTATATATGAATATTTGATTCGATAATCCGTTATTCTTTTTACAAAAAGAATTGAATGATTGGGTTTCGGGGACACTTACAATGTGGCAAAAAAGAGAAGAATCTTTCTGGGGTCAAAGAAGGCCGAAGAAGATCGTCGAAAACTGAATTTTCTGCTGATGGTGCTGGTAACTCCTTTGCCTTCAGCCATGGCAGCGGCGCCGCCAGCAAGGCTCCCCGTCACGATGGTTATGGGGTTATGAACTTGAGGGTTGTGTGCGTGATGATCTGTGGCGCCCACCATCACCACCATTGGCTTTTCAGGCGTGCTACCTCCATGCAGTAAAGAAGCTGCAATGTCCATAATTGAAAAACCCATAAACAAAAAATTACTCATAAGTTTTGCCTTATTTTCATCATAATAATTGTAGGTTTTAAGTGTGCATGTGCAAGCAAAATACCTAAAATGATAAAGAAAGCAATGACAGTCTGTGATATCTCTGGATCACAAAATTGGTTAGAAGAAATGGGCTCCAAACCATGTTCCAAGATCCATTTTTTAACGGGAAAAGCTCTTATACTTTGAGATTACTCCAAATATTTTGTCACCTAACATATGGGATATGCTAGCTTTAGGTACGCGTGAGTGGGAAATGAATGTTGAAGATTGGCTTCTAATTTTGGATTATGTAAGTGTTCATAGTGGGATCTACTTTTCGAGATGATGGATAAAAGGATAGTCTATAACAATAACCAATAAGACGGCGAATGAGGAGTTGGTTCAGTGATAACACTACCCTCGCTCCAACAGTAAGTCATGAGTTCAATCCCCCACTCTAACAAAAAATGACGGGTTGGCTCTCACCTCGCCTATTGACACCTCTAGGGGACTTATTATGGCTAACCCACTAAGAACCATCAAGAAGCTGCCAAAGTAATAACTAGTAAAATGCATTTCCAGATGCAAGAAGACAAAAACAGTGAGTATGATGAAGTTGCTTACGCGTGGCTCTTATTTGTTTAATGGAATTATGATTTCTACGTGGCACAATTTTCTGGCTTCACAAATACTCACTCCTACATTTACTTATACAAAGGTTGTTTATTTTACAGATTACTTCTCTATCAATTTTATAATTGTTGACTTCTCCGCCTTAGCATTTCACTCTAGCCGCCCTAGATTTTTTTTTTTTTTTTTCCTCCAAGCATTCTTAAAAATAACATGATAATCTCTACATTTTACTACAATCTAACGTGTCATAGTCAAGATGGTTGTTAATTGAAGACAATTTCCATAAATTTTTGTGTTGTTTTTTTCTAGATGGTTTTGGGACCAAAATTGTGACATTTTGGAGGTTGGCTCACATATATACACAACTTGAAAACCATTGTACAACTTGAAGAAGATAACAAGCTAAGGAAAAATGGCCCGAAACCGCCTACTTTCTCAAAATGAAATGCATTGAAAGGGGCAGCTTAATGTACTGAAAGAATCTGATTCCTTCTTATTAGCTCCACTAGGTTCTCTCCCATTTTTTTCATGTGCTCTTATTAGTATGGATGATTTCCTTGTCATGCATACAATCTTGAGACTGAGAAGATAATTGAGTTGGCATTTTTTCCTAGGGTCCTAAAAAGAAATTGTGGAATTACCTCTAGGCGAAATTGCCAAGGAGCCATTTTCCCTATCCCCATTAGTGGTGAAATTGGACTTCTTTTCTGCTGCTCCTCCTCTCTGCTGTTGTGATCCCTTTCTTGAAAGGTTTCTCTGCAACTTTTATATTGTGAAGCACATTAATATTTGAGGTACACATTAATTAAAATTCACAAAGGAAAAGGTATCAGAAACAAAAACCATATACTTTTAGGTATATTCTTATGTTGACAGATGACAAATTGACATTGCATCTTCGTGTATCTACAAATTCTTTAGCACTTTTAAGCGCTTTTTCAGATTTGAGGTTGATCCACACAACCCAAAACAGACCTAATCTATTCAACAACCTCTTTGCAACTTTTGAATCTCATTTTAACTATGAAAAAAAAAACACTGAAATAATGGCTGATAGTCTTTGCTGCCTCTTTATTTTCAACCATAAATCCAAAAAGGAAGGAGAAATTTACTGAGTCTGGAAAGTTTTATTTAGCATTAAACGTCCCATAACCAAGGGGATGAAATGCATAAAAGGATCAATTCCATAAATTTTCGTTCAAAATATATAGGCACGACGAATAGGACAACGGGATAAAGGGAGTGGGATAAAAGAAAAAAAGATTAAAGCCGCCCTACAATATTATCTTTCAGTCATCTTTTCTGACAGAAGTCTTTTAATTTTAGAAATAGTAGTTGTATAGAATCAAAAAATAGAAGCTCTGACACGATTAGTAAGACAACTCAAAAATTAAGGGAATCTTTTCTTCTTTTTTTTTTTTTTGTTGTAGGAAGAATTGAGGATTCAAGGAAAGAGAGATGAAGAAGACTAACTGTAATTCTGGAGTTTGCGTTGATATCCTTATCAGTGGCGAAATGTGATGCAAACCGCTCAATGTCCACCACGAAGCTATCAGATGTTTTCTGGGCTTCAACACCATTGATGACCTGATGATGAGAAACAGAGATTTTCTGGGCACCGCCCATCCCTTCAAATTGATCCTTAATTTCACCGAACAAGCTCAAATTCTCCGAACCCATGTGATATTTAATCTTGTGCCTGATCAAAATCACCCAACACACAGAAACAGCATGCAGGGAGGGGTAAGATTGGAGAGACGAGAAAACCAAATTAAAAATTGACAACTTGGTAATTCAAAAGACAATTGAAAAAACCCAGAGATTTCAATGTAACAGTGACAAAAACCAATCTTCAAACATCCCAAAAAGCATAGAAAGTACACCATTTTTTTCTTTTTTGCTTACCAGTTATGTAACCTGGGAATTTCCACAAGTTTCCAAAAGTTTCTGACTTGTTTGCAGAGTTGGAAGAGGATGGAGACAAGAGATATATGGAAAAAAGCCCAGAGAAACAATGATGCTAAAGATTTATACAGAGAAACAGAGTCCTTTTTGGCTTGTGTGTAGAATCCCAATTGGCCAAATTTAGTAACTACCACCAGAAAAACAAACCATAATTAGTCAACATCTCCTCTACTACTACTACTACTACTAATCAACAGAAACGAAATTTCAAAACCGTATTTATAGTTTATAGTTTATGCACAGTAAATACTGTAATGAAGACTACCTTAGCTACTTATTTCTATTCAGTGACGTTCTCCTAACTACTACTTACATTTTACAAAAGCAATATTCAAAGTTTAAACCGTTTGACTCACCAAAACGGTGCTCATAAATTTAATCTCACTTACCCAATTCTTCTTCTTCTTCTTCTTCTTCTTCTTCTTCTTCTTCGCCTGGAATTAGTTTTCTTGTTGTTTGTCAAGTTTTTGGGAAGAGTATAAATTTTTATAGTTGCAGAGAGAAACAGGGGAATTGGGAAGACAAATATATTGAGGAATGCTATACGGTTTTTGGTTCTTTTAGGTGGGACAAAGTTTTTATAAAGGCTTTCGGTCACCACCGCTTTTGGCGTGTTTTTCCTGGGCTTAATTTTTTTTTAAAATTTTTTTTAACGTTGGTTTTTCGCAATTAACTGAAGAATGTTTTCGAAGTTATTCTGTTTTGGTGTATTGTATTTTATATTTTTATAATGCCACTCAAAATGTAATAATACCACTATAAAGGAATTGTTTTTATTGAAATTTGAATTCCACTAGTTAATTAAACCAAAGTAAAATAAGAATTCAACTAGTTAACTTAAAAAGGATAAACAGAATGGAATCTAATAGAAAAACGTTTGACTAATAGTTGGGTTTCGGTGGTGACAGAGTGGTTTTCCGAGGTTGAGGTGTGTTTTCTAAGTGTATTGAAGCACTTCGGTGGCAATTTGGCATCATGGCGAAATTACGAAATCATTTTAGCGAAGGATTAGTGGCACAATATATAGCGCACCTTTTATAAGAGTTAATATATATGCTCCTTCCCGCCCTTAATATAAGACATTTTGATTTATCCTAAATTTTACCTAGTATAAATTTTTAATTAACAAAAAAACCTTTAAAATATTTCCTAATAATCACAAGAACACAACGTATGTGAAAATATATTTTAAAGATTTTTCTTCCGATTTAAAATACGTATTATGTGAAACGCAAGACAAAATCAAAATACTTTATATTAAGGACCAGATCGAGTAACATCTTGCACCGAGGTTCGAAGTTCTATTTATTATGTCGTTTATTGTTTGTATAATTTTATTCCGTTAAGTAAAATGTCAATATTAAGACATTTTTTTGCAAATGGCTACTAGCTAGCCTATAGAAAACTAAAATTCTGTTGACAATTTTTTTTTTTTTTTTTGCATTGATTCAAATGTTTGCCTATCTTACATTTCATATCCTTATAAAACGGGTGGTAGTGGATAAAATAACAAACAATTTGACTTAGTTAGCCATCAGTCCATCACATATATTGTAAATTTCGACCATAAAAGGCAAGATTCTGGGGCCTTTGATCATGGGGAAAAGGTATTCAATTTGTACTAAGAAAACTATTCTTCCATGCGTACATGTTTGCTCATCGATGGGCAAAACTAAAGTGACAAATAACGCAAAAACACACACTAAATAAAAAAAATTAAAAAAATTTCAGAAATTGCATAATAAACTCTCACTCATTTCGTCTGAAAGTTAGACAAAAGACGTTATTATCAAGATTGGATGGTTCTGTCAATAATCAGCAAAACTTAAATATATTTTTTTCTTCTAATTTGACTATATAAATCGTGTCTTTTCTTTTCTTTTCGTTCAGTTCAATCCATTATTGACATTTTCCAGTCAAAATATAACCCTCAAAAAAGAGTTAGATATATTTTTATTTCTTGAAGACTTGAACCTATATTCAAATACAATATGTGAACGATCGTTAAAAATAATCAGTCACATCTCGCATGATTCAGTTCTCCAACTTGCAGTTGTATTCTACTGAACGCCTCATATCATGTTCAGATTTGACAAGTTAATAACTTCGTTCGTTTTCTAATTGTACATTTCATTCATAAAATTAATTAACGTTATTCAAATTTCTGATTTTTTTTTCCTCAATTACAGTGACACAAGGAAACCATAATTTACCTCATGCCTTTTGTACTTAAACAAAAGAGAATAACGTAACCAAGTAATAAAATGGGAGTTTAGAGTATAATATAAATTTTACTTCAATTGGATTAATTGAAAATTACAACATTGTACATTTTTTATTTGAATTTTTTTTTTGTATGGAATGAATAATAAATTAGAATAAGAAATGTGAGAGGGGAAAAGAACTTACATATGACCGCCGTGATAGCAGCCGATAACAGTCTCAACACGGCAAAATGCAAATGCGTGTTGGCTTCAAAACGTTCATTTCTCATTAGCACAAATTTGTGCATAAATCATAGTATTAACAAAAAAGAAGGGCCGAATGCAAAAGAAAGAAAAAAAAGAAAATCTGTAGTTGGATAAACATACTTGTATGGACCATTTATTTATTTAATGTTTGTTTATTTTATTTTCATTTTTCTCTACTAGCTATCTCGCATGCTCCAACTTAACTTTCTTTAGAGCCTAGAGGTCCTTTTTCCTTTGGGTATATTCTAAATATGCACTTTGTCAACTTGTTCTTTTTCCTTTTCTTTCTTTCTTTTTTAGTTTTTTATTGACCCTCCTTAAATTTCTTTCAAAATTTTAAATCAATTTGATGATTTGTCTAATTAACAAAGAAAGTCAAATACATATGATGAGGATGAAATATAATCATTAATTAAAATACTGGATTCAAAGTGTTGGCTTTAATTAGAGTTTCATAATTAAGATTCAAAGAATGGTGAAAGAAATTAAGAATAGTCAGAAGGCTAACAATGTACTATAGGATAATAATTAATACTAGTAGCCACATGCATGTTAAAGGTGGTCTCTCGTTTATCAAAAAAGTCAACTGCAACTCTAACCTTTGATTGAGGGGATTGAAATTCTGTGTTCCGTGATCACGAATTAAATTAAGGTACAATATAAAGGGCAAAAGATTAAAATATCAGGTTATTAAGACGTTAGCAAAAAAAAACCTCAATTATATCTTACTTTAACAATGGCTTAATACCTGAGCGTAATTCTCTCAATATATGAAGGTTTAATTAATTCGATGAGCAATTGGACTGGTTCACCCGAGCCTCTAATTAGAAGACATATTACTTTCACAAAAAAACAAAAATAAAAATAATAAAATGTGGAGCCATATACATGTTTACAAATTTTCCTCTATTTTTTTCTTCATTATATTTTTTTTTTCTCAAATAGATATTTAAAAGCACTATTGTATTTTGAAAGGTCAATTTTATGACGGATTATCTGACTTCATTAGTAGCGCAAGTACTGGTAAACGTGCAATGGATGGAAGCTCCATTATCGGAGATCAATCGTCGTTGAAACTCGATGTAATAGGGATAACATATTTCTCGTAACTTATTGATATAAAAATCATGCATGGTGCTTATTGTACTAAAAAAATTGTAGCATGCAAATGAGAAACATAGTGATTTTTAAGTATCTTGTTAAAGATTTTTTAATTAACCTATCTTGATTCTTTAATATATACAGTATTATCATAGGTCAACTGTAAAAACGTTCAGCCTAAATTTGCATCCATCTATAAGGCGATTAAGTTCTTCAATCCTTCCTTTTATTTTTCTTTGACTAATCGGTTCATCTAGCACACGGTCAACTATTTTTTATTTCTCATTTTTGAATTTGTCTTCCTTTTTTTTTTTTTTTTTTTTAAACCCGAGTTCGAACAATGCACTAGTACGTAGGGGTAATAATATGATTTAGGGATTACATGCAGTTTATAACGTAACTTGAACGTGATAGTTGTATAACTAACTCCAAGAGATTACCATTTCAAAAAAAAAAAAAAAAACTTCCAAGAGATTATACCTTTTTATAGTAGTGAAACTGTTATCGATTGTTTCTTAAAAATGATATTAATTTTGACATAAAATCGACCCGTGAACTCATATAGTAATTTGTGCTGACATGATTCGAATGCTGATCAGCGGCAGAAAATGCCGAACGTATCAAAATCCAGAATTATAGTATGATAGAGGAGACATCCTTATCTTGTCAATGATGGTGTTCATGAATTTATTTCCTTCAATTACTTGACATGGAATAATCCCGATCGAACAAACATTATTAACGTTATCTTACCAGACCAATCCAGTTTAGATGTTGATGTTATATTCTATTGATTTTTGCTCAATTAAATTAATTATTTACAAAGAACTCGATGCATGAGTCAAAATACTCTTTACAGTGATGAAAGACTTATTTCCAAAAGAGAGTTTTAATAGTTTTCTTTTTAAAATGAAAATTTAAAAACATATACAAAACCTATTTGTACTTTGTAGATTTGACATACTCCCTTAAGAAACAAGACTTTAGTTTTTAGGTGGGAGCAAATGGGTAGACGGGATCATGTCTTTCTCAATGACCAGAAAATTGATATTCTCTCTGTCCCAAAATTATTGTCCAGTTTAAAATTTCATTTTTAATATAATTTGAACTAGAAATAAAACCTAAAACTGGATAATAATTATGGTACGGAGGGAGTAACACTTTTTTTTAAAAAAAAAAAAAAGAAAAAAAGAAAAGAAAATAAAATTGATTACACATTTAAGTGATACGTGGATGATGTGTGACTAAACTCAATTATTTCATTGCGTGAAGGAAATAATCTTCCAATTTCGAATAATCATGCCTTGTCAATAACTATCATCGATAGAGAATAATGATAGCAATCACATTTGTCCCGAACAGAGTCGATTAGTACTTTGTTGCATTAATGTAGTATTAAAATGAGATGGAATTACAGAACATGTTTGGTTGCTTATATGTCCTATAGACGCTTTCATATGCTAAATTACCCTAACCAAGTTTCATGCAAATAGGAAAAAGAGTTTTTTTTTTTTTTTTTTTCTGAGAAATAGGAAAAAGAGTTAGTATCAAATATGCATGTACATTTATCGGGAGAGGAGAAAAACTTGGATTGAAGCTTCGTTATTGGAGGTTTAGAGCAAGGTTAGTAGCGACAGAGTCAGGGGACGTGCAGTGTAGTCGCATCCTTTTTTCTTTTTTTTTTTGAAAAAAAAATAAAACATTTGTCTACTTAGTAGAGATATGCAACAATTTTAGTAAAAATTCATAAATTTAAATCATTTTATATATGCTTCCACAGTAGTATACGCTTTGTGCTGAAAAAAGTAATTCACATGATCTTTTGTAATTTAAATTATTTTAATAAAAATTTCAAAACAATATTGTGTGGATTTGTTTTTTTAGAGCGATGGAGTATAATGTTTTTAGTTATTTTTACAAATTTGACACCTTCCCAAAAATCTTAAAATTTCGCTGCTGAAATACTCAGTTGGAGTATGG